AGTCCATAATAGTGATTGTTGAACAAATGTTTATAAAATAGGTTATTTGGCAGGAAATTAACATGCCAAGGACAAGTTCACTTGTTAGGTAGTAGGTTGTAGGCACGTCTCTTTTGAGTTAGTCTGAGTTTCATCTTTTCAATAAAATTAGTATAAGTTATGTATCTTCGTTAGTAATAATATAAGAGACTTTCTCTTTTCTTAATTAATAAATTTGAGACAAGGCCTCGCTGGAACAATAAAAAAAAAAAAAAATCTGAATATATATAAATATTTAATGTGGATAAATGCGAGAGTGGTTAAATATATTCGAATTAATTTAAGGTAAATATATCCAAATATATTTGCTATTAAAAATTTCTTGATAAATATGCTGTTGTATCATTTGAGGCAGTTTCCAACGTATACCTCCACTTTGCTTCTTCAATTTTTGAATTATGTTTTAGGATAATATCAAGAACAATTTTTCTTTGTTTAGAAGTAGTTGTAACAATGTATAGATATGTCTTTTTTTTTGATTAATAACTCTTAATCAGAAAGACCTCCACATATTCTATTTGGACTTGACTTATATCTACAGTTTCCTTGTTATTATTTTTTCCTTTAGCAAGAATATCCCTTATCTTAGATTCAAATAACTTTGTTTTCTTATTATCGGAAATGCGAATATCAAAGAAAACTTTTATGCTGGAAATTGTTACTACTGCTTTTTTCCCATTGACAAGATATCCATAGAGACATAAAATATAATAAGGTAAATTGTTTATACATATATTCATTATATTCTTCGATATCCATAAGCATAAATAGAATATCTTCTTCAGTAATTAAAGCCTGTTTAATAGTCACTGTTAATACATAATCTTTATTCTCTTTAACTATACTATTACAATTGGGATAGGTTGGTAAGTAATCTTCTCCATTGTAGTAAAATGCCTGACATACCTTTTCACTTTTCAAAATCATTGATTAAGGAAAAGTTTTAGTCTCCTGATAGTAGAACGTCCCGTTCTTTTCTTCTGACTCTATCTCTGGCTCAAAATTTTTGATAATTTTTGGGTTCTCGGGTATGTAGGTATTTCCATATCACTTCAAGTTTTTAGGGATGGAGATCTCAGTTGGCACATTGGATGATACAGGTACAATGAGTTTGCTATGTTCACTTTGGGTAGACATGTTATTTGGATACTATACTATTCAAGAGAAAAAAGTTCAAAATGAAAATTAATTATAAAATATAGAAATTGATACATATTATTTGATATGGTATTTTATCGTTATCCAAAGTATGTAATCGAGGTTGTTATCATCTTGATGGCTATTACGTTTACTGAGATTCACTATTCGTATTTTTTGCAAAGAATATAGTTGTGGTGAGTTAAATTGTTTTAAATATGGCTATTGTGATCTTCATGCTAGAAAACATCGAAAAAAGAAACAATACCATCAAAAGAAGCTTGAAAAACTAGTTTAAAATGGTGACGGGATGGTAGAAAAAAATGAATAATACGTGGACTAAATTTTACCTGGATAGATTTTTCTTGAATGATTTTTTCTTGAACAGATTACCTGGACGTAAAAAAAGATAGCTGGTAATATTTTTGAACTGATAGGAAGAGTTTTAGACTAGCCGTCCAAGTTGTCTAGGTTGTCTAGGTAAATTCTTGATTTTCTTTACTCTTTTTTTTTCTTTTTTTGTCTATATATATATATATATATGTATCGTAAGATAGGTATATATAACATATGTTATATATATCAGTGGATATATATAACATATAACATATATATCGGTAGGTATATATCAAAGATATGTATATATCAGTGGATATATATACATATATTATATATATCATGAGTATATAATGTATACTATAGGATAGAGTTTAATATTTTTTTTAGAATTTTATTTTTTATCTAGATAACTTAGACGAAAATAAAACAAGTATAGAAGAACAAGTTAAAACAAAAAGAAACTTTTTTTTCCATATCATTATCTGTTTAAGTTGACATATTTTTATCTGGATGAAATCTGGATGAATTTTTTTCTTGGACACGAACAAATCCATTCTAAGCGTGTTCTAAGATAGTGAACATAAGCGATTACATTTTGATAGCATATTTAATAGCATATCTTGATAATATTTATAATATATATATCGATAGCAATTGCACATACGTGTTTGATAGTATAACCTAACTCAACTATTTTAATATATCCGATAACATATATTCTTATTATTCGTCTCATAAGTGATGCATAAATTGTAATTGGTCTGTTAAATACGTGAAAAGGTCAACTCGAGTACCATAATCTATATCAGGGAGTGTCTTATACTTGAAATCTATCAGGATAATAACAGTGTCATATTTCTGTTGTCACGATACATGACTAATAGGGAATAACTTAAGGTCCCGCTTGATATCCATAACTTATCTTGGGAAGCTCCTTACATTCGAAATCAAATATAGTTACCATATACTATATATTTTTTTATAATGAATTTAAAAATTTAGAAGCTTTAAAACATTATATAGAGTAGTCACCTACTAATTAGTATAACCTAATTCAGAGAGTATCTTAGTTTTAAAATCAACTGTGATTACCAAATTGATATATATTGTGTCATATACGATCCGACAACAGAAATCAGCCAGATCACTGTTCTGATATATACCAGTTCAAGTGTAGCTTAAAAAATAAATCATGTCACTGATGACGGTGGTCAACTTTTGTCATCAGATCACATAATGACGGTGGCCAACTTTTGTTGTCAGATCACATCCTCAAGATGGTTATAGTCTACTCAAGCCAATAAACTATATGATCTTTTGTATAAAATACCATCTTAAACCAGGAATTCCAATGGATTTTATTGTATAAAGGAATTTTACAAGGAGAAAAAATTCCATGCATTTTTAAATGAGTCAAATATTTTTGTTGCCAAGTAGGAGAATAAACAAAAACTTCTTTAATTTTTTTCAGGAAATTCTTTAATATTTTAAAATGTAAAAATATTCTTTAATATTTTAAAATGTAAAATATTCTTTAATATTTTAAAATGTAAAAATATTCTTTAAATATTTTTAAAAATATAATTTTTATATTAAATTAAAAATAAAAATTAATTTAAAAAATTTAAATAAAAAAATTATATTCAATAAGATTTAAAATATGTGCACAATATAGAACATGAGCACATTAATGATAATAAAACTTCCTGATAACATTTTTTCATATAGATAATTGAATCAGAAAGAAACAATTGTGACAAATCAAAGGATATATTAATTTGTAAAAATAGTTATAAGAGTTTGTCCTATGGTAGTATTGTTAACTTATTCAAGAAAATCTATAGATACTAGTTTTGTTTTGTTATGATAAGTAAAAATAATGTTAACAATGCTTCTTGCACAATCATCTATAGTTTCATCTATAATTATAGTTACTGGTTTAGAATCATATAATAATTTTAAAAATTATTAATGTTTATTAAAAAATTAGATAAATAAATTTGACAAAGTGTTGGAGCCTGAGAAATTGAACCACCATTTTTGAGATACTTTTTAAAAATGGAATTAATCTATTAACTTTTTCAAAGGAAATATTTGTTACTATAAATATTTTTAAGAGATCTTCAATAACTTGTTTTTTTAAATCAGCTGCAGCTTAAATAGAGAAAGAGTAAGTTGTATTTTATTTTTTTTCTTATTGTTATGACTATTCATATTTGAAATATGTTTTTAACTTTTACAATGGTTATCTACAACTGATTTTTGTTTCTACTCTACAGAAGTATTGCAGTAGTTACAAAAAAGTATATTATCATTAACACAAAAAATATTGTCATATTCTTTATATCTGCTGTGAACTGATATAGCTTTGAGTTTTTTTTTGATAACATCACAAAAAAAAAAAGAAAAAATAATTTATAGATCAATGATAATCAATAATGATTAAATATCATATTTCAGATTATGTGATAGACTATAGAGAATTATAAATTATGCAATTTTATAATGTGATGTAATTAAATTATGTATTTTATACAAAATTATTCGTTTAATGTGATATTATGTGATTGCATATCGGGATTTCCTCTATTGTCACCCCCTGTACAATCACATCATATAAATCCCAATGCCTTTCATAAGGATCAATACTTAGTAATACAATATAAAAACCCCTCTATACACATTTTTTATTTTTGGTCCGCAGGAATGTGCTTGTAGAGAGGTCCACTGTATACTATTCATAAAATTTGTGATAAAGTATTTAAACACGTTCATTATTTTAAAAATAGAAATTCTTGGAGGTCTAATCCTTTTGTAAAGCAATAATTATCTACAGAAATAATGATTATTTATGAATAATGAATTTATTAGCAAACGTAATTAAAATATCTTTTAGAAATTAATTATTTATTGTAAATATAGAAATAGTAAAATACGAAGATTCGATTCTGACCAACAATACTTAATCAGATACATTTTAAAAAATTTTAAGTGCACATCTAAAGGCACCCCACTGTATAAGAACTCCCCTCTTATAATCTTGGTCCCTATATATAAATCATATTAAAATTCCTTCATTATAAGAATTCTCAACACCATTTGTTGGTCTCAAGGGTTCTATAACTGTATTTAAGAAATTTTAAGAAATTTACTTAATATATTCTTAAAATATTTTTGATCTTAAGTATATTTTAATTCTTTTAGGGGTGAGGTTACAACGTTCGGTTTGATTTTTTAATTGACTCAAAGTAAATATGAATCACATCATCCCTGATATAAAATTTATTACAATCGCTTCGTACGATAACATTATTGTAGTCATGACAGATATTTTAGAAAGGATAAAAAGAGTCTATTTCATGACAGATATTTTAGAAAAATAAAAAGAAAAATAGAAAACATATAATTAGAAAATAGTCTTTAATTAAATTTTTTTTTTCTAAAAAATCAATTTTTTTAATTCGAAGAACTCAAAAGCCTTGACAATGAATTCTTTTTCTCGACACTTAAAAAAATATTACTTCAATCGTTGTTCCAGAAAAAGGTTGGCTAACCTTTTCACCTCAAATGGTATTTTTAAGAAAGAAAATAATGGAGTTCGTGAATTCGTAAACTCAGAAATGCTGCCCGTAATCGATTTAATAAATCAAATACATAATGAAAAAAATGCAGAGATAAAGAAAATACTTGAAACAAATAAAGATGAGGTACTTAAACTAACGAATGAAAAAAATGCACTAATGAATGAAAACACAGAACTGTTTAAACTTTGGAGAATACGTGACGCAAGAGCAGCTCTTGAATTCATCCGAAGTCATGTAAGTTTTTATATGTCAAACTTTCTTTTTTGCATTTTATTTATTATAGTTTTTCTACAATAGGTTACTTCCCAGGAAAAAAAACATGGAGAGCCTCTTTGGAATGAACCTATTGATAAAATGTTAAAGAAAATATCGGGACAAGAAAAATTTAAAAGAAGTCTGGAAGAAACGTGTGAACTAAATAAAGTGTCTATAAATGCCATACAAAAATGCATTTGTGGACTATATCATACAGCATCAAAACCACTGCATGGTTACGATGGAAATAATATTATTATTTCTGCAAAGGATTGGGTAGAAAATGAAATAATTGCCCTAGGTCTCCTCTTCAAATATTATAGTATTCCTTTCGTTTATAAGGATAAGATGGGAGACTCTAAGAATTTTCCATACAAGATAGTTGTGAAATAATCACCTTTACTTCAAATTACCTTTGATTATCCATTCTTCACTCATAAATTTATTTAGATTATTTTATTTACATATATTCACAACAAATTATTGGTCCATATCAAGATAATAATGATGATGATGATGAACCGAGAATATTATTTCGTATGTTATCTCATACGACTTAGAATCTTCGTTTTATTATTTCTATATTTACAATAAATAAGATTAGATAAAATTACACTTGCAAATAAATTCATTATTCATTATTGCTGTAGATAATTATTGCTTTACAATTTTTTTAATGAAAATATAAACTATTTTTGTATTCTCAAATGATCTTTACTATATTCTAACTCAAAAGGACTTTATCACAAATTTTATGAATAGTATAATATTAAATTCAACATGAACATGTATTTATTGGATCATTTTGAATATAAGGTGTTTCTTTTTATCAATTCAGGATGAAATTTCTAAGACATAGGGATGAGTTTCAATAACTTTGTATTACAGGTTTCCAAAAGAAATTGGATTGAGTTAGGATTTGTTCTTGTTTGCTTTTACTAATGATGTTTCAAGTTGTTCCAGATAATTATAAAGTAATAATGATGTTTAAGTTGTGCCAGATAATTAAGATTTCTTATAGTAGTTTGACTAATATCTATTCTTAGTTTTTATAAGTATTTTTTTGTTCTATATATGTGTAATCTATAAATGGTCTTTTACTTTTACTTTTCTTTTCAGTTTCTCCTATATTATTCTGTTTTTCCCATTCTAGAAATTCTTTACACCTTTTTTTCCAATTATTGTATAAAAGATCTTTCCATTCTTTTAAGATGTCCATTACCATTTGTTTTCCTATGTCAGCTGAGTCTACTTTATTTAATATTATTTTGTACAAGGATTTGGAAATTAGACTTCTTATTAGGTCATTAAATTTGAATCTATCATGTGGTTGTGTGCCTATAATTTATAATTTGTCTGTTGTGATTAATTTTCAAAAAATGACCATGTGTTATCTTTATCATTAGATCTTCTAATCCTTTTTTTCCTTTCTCTTTTATATATGTCTTTTTAATTATGGTCCAGAAAGCAATTTTAAGACTTTTTCTTTTATTTGAACATATGAAAACATGTGTATTAGTTTCTTTGTATTTTCTACAAAATGGACATTCTGGTTTGATATAAATGTCAGGTTTTCTTATATATAGAGTTGGCATTGTAGATAGTTTCTCATTTAACAATTTTAATGAAAATGATCTTAATGCACTATCTTTTGTATTTGTTTTGGTAGATATGATTTTTGAGCCATGTCATAATTGAACTGATCAAGTTTCTTCAATAATTTTTTTATTTAACTATTTATTGATACAATATTACATACAGTAAACTATGATGTAATTGATTCAATTTCTTCTTTTCTTTTTACAAATGATTTAATATCTGTATCAATATCTTTTCCTTTCCATTTAAAATAATACTATTGATCTCAAATGTAGTTCAGATTAATTTTGAAAATAGATCTTAAGTTGACTCCTGTATTCAATAATTTATCTACTTGTTTGTTATATAAATTTTCCATATAAGCTTTAACTTTTATAAATATAATATTTAACTTTTTTATATTTATTATTTCTTTTATAGTTTGTAAAACTAGTGAATTTTTATAATTACTCTAATGTTTACTCTTTTTTTTATTTATACAATTCTTTATTACACTAATTGAAAAGTTATTATTAATATATAAGTAGACTTCTACATTATTTGATATGATCTATAATACAAAAAGTATTTTTCACAATTCTGCTTGTATTGATAATGGTGATTCTTCTATTCTTTCCTTTCAAGTAAATCATTTCAGGTTTATATCACTAGTTATGCAGATCACCCTAAAACTCATTATTTATTGACTTATAGAAATGTTGTTATTATTATTAGGTTTTTTATTATTTTTTAACAGTTATTTTCTTGTATCCTTGTAATTTGTTTATAATATCTTTTAAGTATTCTAATATTTGAGAATCTGTAGTTATAAAAAAGTGAAAACATTGATGTTTCTCTTTATATTTTTATAATTAATATTTGTGGGTATATTATTATAATATATGTTAAGTGACTTAGGTAAAATAATTATCTTATTTTCTGTCTACTATCATTAGTATTTCCAATTGAAAATTTAGAATTTCTAATTGAAAATAAACTGGTTTCTATTATATTTGCTGTAATTAAACAGTAAGTAATATTTTCATTTGTATTATTTATGCTTAATATTGATTTTTTTAACAAGTATCTACTGTATGTTGTTACCAAATGAAATTATCAAGGCAACAATACTTAATACTAGTAGTATGATAATATATAAAAATGAAATTAAATATAATTTAATAATTCATAAATTAGTAAATTTTAGTAATATTAAATAACAAATTATATTAATTAAACACATAATCCATAATATAAATCATGTGTTCACATAATATAGTTACATATATTTTATAAATATAATATAGTATTAATTATCATTTTATTACTCTTAATCAATAACAAATTAATTATTATTAAATAAATTTAGTAAATTATATGATAAATATATTAACCAATAGAAATAATGTACAGTAAAACACAGTAATGGTACAGTAGTTTAGATTATCTAAAATACTTATAAAAAAGATCAAAGTCCTACTTTGATTCTTTAGTTTACAATTTTATAATTTTGAATTTGATAATTTATAACTTATTTAAAATTAATAAATTTAATTTTATAATTTGTAACTCCAAGATAAAAACTTATAAAAATTATCCTGTAATTAGATTAATAAAATAATAAATATTGGAAAAATAAAATAAAAATTATAAAAATAATTATCAAATATAAAAATAAAATAATTAATAAGGAAATAATAGATATTATAGGATTAAATACTTGATTGTATAATTGTATAATATTATTATTCTTGAGTTAATGAAATTAATTACAAACTATTATTATAAATTCTAGAATTTGAATAATACTTGACCTTGATGAATTGGAATAATATTTAACTATAATAAATTGAAAAACAATTAATGAATAGATATTAATACTAAAAGTAATGATGAACTTAAAAGATATCACTGGTCGAATGATCAAAAATTGATAAATTTTTTAGTTATTAGAGTTAAAAAATCATCTAAAATCAACTGTTCAATCTTCAAATCATCTGAAAATTGACTACCTGATTTGCAAATTAATTATCTAATTTTTAAATAATTTTTGATAATAAAAAAAAACTAATTATTTTTACTTTTTTATTAGTAAAATATTAAAAACTTTATTAAGTAAAATTATAGTTGAGAACTAGGCACATTTACTATAAAAATTTTAGACCTAAATATCACAAATATACATGTTTCCAAAATTGATTTTAGATTTTTGAGATATTTTGACTTTTTGAGATTTATGCAAAATCTATTCTATATATGGAAGTAAAAAAAGTACCTAGTTATATGTATCTTTAATCAAAGAATAAATCTGGGTGGTCAAAAAATTTCAGATTTTAAGTAAAATAATTTCGTCTTCTATGAAAAACTATTTCGACTTTTTTCCCCAAAATTGTAATTTCGGGGCTTCAAAATAATTTTGCGTGCAGGTATAATCACAAATTAAAAGAAAAAAGAATATTTAAATTTTAAATATCCATTCATTACTAGTCAAAAATTGATAAAATATACATATATCGGATACCCGATATGTGCATGGTACGTCCTTAATATTAGGTGTATATCAGATACCTGATAGATATAGAAAATATTTTTTTACACTTATCAGGTATCCAATATATATATATAAAATATTTTTACACCTATTGGGTACCCAATATACACCTGATATTAGGGACGTATCATGCACATATCAGATACTCGATATATATATGTTTTATTAATTTTTGACCAGTGCATAATTTAAATATCTAACTTTCCTTCAATTTGTATATTTTAGATCTAAAATTTATTTAATAGGTATATATAGAGGTGTATATAGTACTTAGCTATAATTTTACTTAGTAACATTTTTATGATTTAATTATAAAATTTAAAAGTTTTATATGTAATTATAATCACTAATTTTATACATAATTCAATATTATATATATAAAAGTATAAAATTATTAAATAATAAATAAAATCAGTGATCGTATCTACATATAAAATTTTTAATTTAATATCTAAATTATATAAATGTTACTAAATAAAAATATAACTAATAACTATGTATACCTATTGATATTATCTGTTGAAAAAGTGAGGAGGCAAGTATAACAAGTGCTTGGGTTTAGTTTCCAGTAGTTATTAGTGAATTTTGGAAGTATAGAAAAATAAATAATACTAAAGTAACTGATATTCCATACTGTAGGATAACAAAAGCAAAAAAATCTAGGTGAAATAAAAAAGAAACAAAGTGAAATAATTACAAGAAAAGAATGGTAAATATAGAAAAGAAAGATAATGGCAAATTCTAATCTAAAGAAAATAAGAAACAAAATAGAATAGTTTTGCTAGAACTTGGTAAGGAATTAAAAGATGAATAGGTTTAAAAAATGAAAAAGATGAATTCTGGCTAAGTTATGTAACAATTGAGTGAAGAATTAAAGATTAATAGTTTATTCTTAGATTTTAAGACTTTGGATTATACAATATAAACTTTATTTATAATTTAGAAACAAATGCAAGAAGAGAAATAAACATGTATATAATTTATTTATAGATAAACATAAAGATTTTATTAAAGAAAATAAACAAAGTACAAGAAAAAATAAAGAAAGTAAAGAAATCTATTTTATTTTTACTCAAAAACTATCTAAAGAAATAATCAAAATACATAAAGACTATTTTATTGATGGTATCCTTGTTGTTGTTATCCTTGATATTAATGTTAATAATAATGATACATAAAGAAAAAAAATTAAAGTTACTTTTATAATTATTCTAATTCTATTCTAAAAATATAAATTAATTTATCAATTGATTACATGATAAAA